GGCCCGCTCCATGGCGGGAAACGTCCCGGTGGTGGTGGGCAACCACCAGTTCAGCCGCTGTTTCTCCTGACGCCTGAACAGGGGAAGGACCTTCAGAGTGCCGAGCAGACGCCGCAAGAACCCGTGGCTGACACCATTCATTTGCTCGTCTCCTCGTTCGCCCCGCAGCACAGAACCGCTCGGGCTGCCCTGCCCAGCTGCGCGAGGGCCAATGAGAAAACTCGCAGGCAGGGAATAGGAAGGAGGAAGCGCGACCCGGGAAAGGAAACGAGCGCTTGCCGGAAATTGCGCCCCGCCCCTGAGGGCTGATTCAAACTAGGCAGCGTGACAAAAGACAGGGGAGGAGAGTGAAGGACCCGGAAGATGGCGAAGGTCAAGATTCTCTTTAGGCGTAGCCCTGAACGCGTGAAGGACCACTGACCGGAAATAGCCTTTCTTCGTCAGCGGTTGGCCGTGTGCTAGCAAAGGAGCCTTGTGGATTTGTTCTTTTCTCTATCCCAGAACTGGATGAGTGTTTGGCGCTTGGGAATTTGGTGTTTTAGTAGAGCAGTGTTTCTCAACCTTGACAATTTTAAGGCATGTGGACTTCAACTTCCAGAATTCCACAGCCAGCAATGCTGGCTGTGGAATTCTGGGAGTTGAAGTCCACATGCCTTAAAATTGTTAAGGTTGAGAAACACTGTAGTAGAGGATAAAACTCTATTAAGTAAGGCCAGGTGCAAAAACAATGGATAGATACAGAAACTCTGCTGTCTCGACTGAAGCTTAGAAGCAACATGCCTACTCTACTGTTATCTACTTAGGCAATAAAATCTAAATCTGTTATGCATGTCAGGAGCTCTAAAGAACTAATATAAAGAGGCAATGGAAATGCTCTTTATTGTTAATGTTAAACAGTGGCAAAACACTTAAGCATATTTTTTTAAACAATTTACTGCAAATTAAAAAATTAGGGGCAAAGAAACTGAAGAGGGACTACTTTTTTAATTGTTTGGTAGAAGTACAAATTATTAACTCTATATTTTACTTGGAAAGTTAGTTTACTTTAGATATTACTGCAAATTGATTAAGTCTAATAATAGTTTTAAATTAACTTGAGTCCTAGTAACGAGGCTAGAAAACAGGAGACTGTGAATTCTAGTCTCACTTTAGGCATGAAAGCCGCAGCTGGGTGTCTTTGGGCCAGTCTCGGCCCAATCTACCTCACAGAGTTGTTGTTGGGAAAATAGGATGGAGTATTATGTATGTTTGCTGCCTTCAGTTATCTATAAAAATGAGGGATAAAAATTAAAAATAACTTTAAAGACCTCTCCATGAAAGTTTTCTTAATGCTGCAATTTTCTGAATCTGTACACATATGTAAATTAGATACACATTTTATACAATGTGCACCTTTAATCTACATAAATAATGGTGGACAAATTTTTTTGACCCAAAGGGTACAAAGGGCACTGAATAGTTGTCAGATATGATGGAATAGAGCAACTATGATAAACTAATACTAATTGATCATTTATTCAGTCTGTATTCTGCCAAGAGTCAGATTTATCCGTTATATTTGTTATGCTCAACTTCTACATCTGAAACAAGTTCAGAATGCTAGTCATTGAAGTTCAACTATAGATGACAGTTGTTGTCTTCCTATTCAGCTTCTGAGCTTTCCAGAGTCTCATTGTAAGAAATAATGGACATACCTCTGACCTGTGCCAATAGAGCTCTTACATTCATGTCAAGGCATTTCACACAAAAAATCCTTATGTACTGTATACAAAGATGCCAATGTAATTAGTTGAGATTCAGATCGGATAAATTTAAATTTCAAAAATAAAGATCAGGTAGCTTTCATTCCAACCAGTTGTTTCATTTGTTTCAGTATTTGTATCTAATATTTCTATACTTGGGTCATGAACAGTAAACATTAGGAAATGTATAATAAAACAAAAAGTAAAATACAAATAAAAAACACCTCAACAGCATTTTATGAATATATTCTAGGAAACAAGCCATAGAAAAAATATTTGCAGTGATAAAGTAATTTTATTTGCATATTTAGAGAGCAAAGAAATAGTTAACATTCTTAGAAGACTGATTGATAAAAAAATTCTCATTTATTCAAGTTATATTTCTTTTGGCAATAAAAATATCTATATTTGGTTTAATCAAGTAATAATTTCTATATTGTAATATGTATTTGCACAATATAGCTTAACCATGATTACTGAATCCAATTTTGGGGGTTTGCACAATATTGTTGTTACAAATACAAAACATACTATTTTGTGATTTAGTATATTAGATGAACATTGTCAGACTTAAACCAGAAGGTACAAACTGCACACATTAAGAAAAAAGTTAATCAAACCAAAATAGAATAGAGATGGAAGGGACCTTGGAGGTCTTCTAGTCCAGCCCCCCCACTCAATACCATCTCAGACAAGTGACTGTCCAGTCTCTTCTTAAAAACCTCCAGTGATGGAGCACCCACGATTTCTGGAGGCAAGCTGTTTCACTGGTTAATTGTCCTCACTGTTAGGAACTTTCCAGGTTGCTTCTCTCTTTGATCAGTTTCCAACCATTGTTTCTTGTCCTGCTCTGTGGTGCTTTGAAGAATAACTTGACCCCCTCTTCTTTGTGGCAGCCTCTCAAATACTGGAACACTGCTGTCATGTCTCCCCTATTTCTTCTTTTCTTTAGATTAGCCAAACCCAAGTCATGCAGCCGTTCTTTGTATGTTTTAGTCTCCAGGCTTTGGATCATCTTAGTTGCTCTTCTCTGAACTTTTTCCAAGGTCTCAACATCTTTTTTGTAGTATGGTGACCAAAATTGGTTGCAGTGAAGGTCCCTTCCAGATTCTATTCTATTCTATTCTAATCCCAATCCCAATCCCAATCTCCTATTCTATTCTATTCTATTCTTCTATTCTATTCTATTATTCTATTCTATTCTATTCTAAATTCCAATTCCAATTCTATTCTATTCTATTCTATTCTGCTGAATTTGAGTTGCCCTAGTCTTAGTACATCTGAACCACCACAACACACTGGCTTTTACATATTCTTAATACACAGGGATCATCTGAATAGCACTATTTTATCGGTTCAATATTTTAAAAAGAAACCCGAGTCATCTCGTTGAAGTGATATTTCGTATCTCGTCACCCATATTTTTAACGACAACATAATTGACATTTTCCACGTTGGTCAAAATGCTCATAGCACTCCTCTTTAGAGTTCAGCTGCTAACTTAAGCGGCAGCCAAGTGTCTCTGAGCCGAGGTTAGGACACCTTTTCCTCACGGCGTTCGTCTTTAAGATGCTACAACCACCCTCCGGAAAGGCAGGAATTCAAAGATAAAGAGGCGCATTTGGCACCGGCCAAACGGTGGGTCCCTTTTGGAGAAATAAAGCAAAGTCAACGCCCGTAAGAGCGCCTCCACCTTCCCCCAGCTAAGCCTCGGGCATCGCGAGCCCTCCCCGCGCGGCGGGTGAATTTAAAGCGGAGGGCGGGACCGTCCGCCAAACAGACCGGGGGGTGGGTGGGGCTCTACCTCGTGCCCATAGCAACCAACGCCTTGTTGACGACCCAGTGCAGGAGCTGGTGGAGTTGGACGCCGGGCCTTCTTGCCGTCGTCGGTCCCCTTTTCTCGGCCAACCCCAACCGATCCCACCTAGCT